TGGTTTTTTATTTATTTATTTATTTATTTTTAGTGATTTTTTCTATAGGGTGCATGCACTTGCCAGAAAGACAGATAGAAAGAAAGAAATCACCCTGCAGGGTGGATGGCCACACCTCAATCCCTTCTCCTCTCATGATTTTGGGCATGCATGTACATGCACCCAGTGTGAGTTTCACGCTGTCGGGTCTAGGACTCGAACCACGACTGACTACATAGGAGTCCAGTAACGTAAGCATTATGCCATCTGCTGGTTCCAAGACAGGTTTTTTTTTTTTTTCATTTTGAATAATTATTTATTTAATTTTATATGCTATTATTATTTATTTTAAAAATTTGATCAGACAGAGACAGAGAGAGGAAGGGGAAGTAAGAAAACAAGCTGCCAGGTCCAGAAGTCAAACCACAGGCGGCCCTGTGGGAGTCCAGCCCCTCAACCACCACACCACCTGCTGGCCCCCCAAGATAGGGATATTTGACAGTATCTTTATACCTTGTGATCCGCCTGCCCCGGCCTCTCAACTAGCTAGGATTACAAGGGCACACGACCACGACCCTGGAACTGAATCTGGCTGCTCTGGTGCCCTCCAGTCTCCAAGTAGTGGCAGTGCCGGAGCCAGGGCTCCTGTAATCCTCTCTGTAACTCTGTGGGACAACCCCATCTCACAGGTGAAGAAACTGAGGCTCAGCAGGGACCACCTGCTGGTCCCTATACTGATTATTTCATGGAAAAGTGGATGGGGCCAGCAGGTGGCATGATGGTTAAGGCGTTGGACTCCCACATGGCTAATCTCGGTTCAAGTCCTGAGCCTGGTAGCTTGCTTTCTCCCTTTCCTTTTCTCTCTGATGATTCTACCAAGTAAAAAAATACATATACTAATAATAAATAAAATAATACTTAAAAAAAATAGAGTGGAGAGCTATCATTTATTAGACTCACTACATTGCCTTGCACTGGGTGAAGTGTATATCAAGACAGGTCTTGTTATTCTCATTTTACAGAAGAGGAAGCTGAGGGTCAAAGATAGTCATCTGTCCAAAATCACAAAGTTTCTTAGTGCTGGGGCTGGCAGGTGGCATGGTGTTTAAAAGGTGCTGGATTCCCACATGGCTGACTGCAGTTCGAGTCCCGGACCCAGTGGCTTGCTTTCTCGCTTTCTCTCTCTCTCTGGTCAAATTTTAAAAAATAATAATAACAACAAATTGAATTAAGTAAATATATAAATAATTATTTTTTAAAAGTTCCAAAAAATACTTGGATGATATTTGAACCCAGTTTCATCTAACTTAAAAGACTCTTGCAAGGGACCATCAGGAGACGCTGGACACTCCCACATGGGTGACCACAGTGTGAGTCCCAGTCCTAGTGTTTTACTTTCTCACTCTCTCTCTCTCTCTCTCTGTTTCTTTCTGGTCAAATTAAAATAAATGAATAAGAAAATAAAATTAATTATTTTTTTTTTTTAAAAAGGCTCTAGTCCTAGGTCAGTTTCATGGCATGGTGGTTAAAGCAGTTGGAGTCCACAGGGCTGACCACACAGTTTGAATCCCGGCCCCAGCAGCCTGAAAAGCGCACCAGTGTGTGTTTGTGCATGTCCTAATCTTGAAAGGAGGGGGAGATGGAGAAGGGATTGTGGCATGACCACGCCCCACCGGGAGATGCTTTCTCCCTCTGCCTCTCTGGTGAATGTATGCACTCTCTATTAAGATTTAAAAAAAAAAAAAAAAAAGAAGAAGAAGAAAGGAAGAAAAAAGAAAAGCTGTAGTCGTAAGCACTAAGTCATGCAGCACACATGGGAAAACACGCCACCGGGAAGGGGATTTCTGGGCAGACAATTCAGGAGTGAAAGGTTCTGTAGGGGCCCAGCATTCTGATTTTTTAAAAAAGACTTATTTTATTTAATTAATTAATTTATTTATTTATTTTTGAGAGGTTTTTGCTATAGAAAGAGAGACAGAAAGCGAGAAATCACCCCCCCATGGGGGATGGCCATGCCGCAATCCCTTCTCCTCCATTCTCTTCTCGGGATCTTGGGCACATACACACACACGCCCAGCGTCAGTTTAAGCTACCGGGTCCAGGACTTGAACCACAGTCGACTACATGGGAGTCCAGCAACATAGCCATTACGCCAACTGCTGGTCCCAAAAAAGATTTATTTTATTTAACTTTAATTAATTCATTTTAATTGGAACAGAAAGGGACAGAGTGAGAGAGAGAGGGAAAGTGAGAAAGCAAGCTACCAGGTCCGGGACTCAAACTGCAGTCGGCCACATGTGGGAGTCCACCACCTTTAACCACCACCACATCTGCCAGCCCCTATTTTTAGGGTTTTCTTTTTTTTGCCATAAGTCACATGTGCTCACCAGAGAGACAGTGAGGGAAAGTGAGAAACGACCCTCAAGATGGGATGACCACACCACAATCCCTTCTCCTCTTGGAGAATGTGCCTGGCATGATTTTCAATCCAGTGGGTCCTGGACTTGAACCACACAGTCAGCCACGTAGGATCCAACCACCTTAACCACCGACCACTGGTGGGGCCAAGATATGTATATCTGACAGGGCCTCTGAGTGTTGCAATCCTCCTGCCCCAGCCTCCCGATTAGCTAGAGTACAGGTATTCACAACTGCACCTCGCATGGTCAGGCTGGCTCAGGAACCAAATCCAGACTTCCCATGCAACTCCCACCTTCCCCAGCAGCAGGACCACCACAGTGGGATGGGGCGATAGCTTCTTCTTTTTTTTTTGAGAGAGAGAGAGAGATTTTTAGATTTTTGCTATAGGGCACATACACTCAGAGAAACAGAGAAAGTGAGAAATTACTCTCCAGGGGGGATGGTCACACTGCAACCCCCTCTCCTCTATCCTCCTCTCAAGATTTTGGGAACACATGCACATGCGTCTGGCATGTGTTTCAAACCACCAGGTCCAGGGCTCGAACCATGGTCGGCCATGTGGGAGTCCAGCACCTTAGCTATAATGCTACACCTGCTGGCCCCTTCTTCTTCTTTTTAGTTATCAGAGTATATATCCACATTGTTGGGATTTGGGGCATGCACACATGCGTGCGTGCACACACACACACACACACACACACGTACCATGCGTATTTTTCAAGCCACTGGGACCAGGATTCAAACTGGATGATCAGTCATGGGGATGAGGGTCCCTCCCTTAACCACTAGGCTATAGGGCAGGCAACCATGAAGTATTTTTATTTGCTTAATCCGTCACCCCTAAACTTGCACCAGTGGAATGGCCACCAGCTTATGCCAATGAAGTCTTCCTGTCCCTGAGTTGTACAAAGCAGGGTCCGCCCCGACTCAGTGCCCTCCTTTGTTCCTCTCCAGGCAAAAACAATGAGTGCCAGGCCTTCATCTGCAACTGCGACCGCAACGCGGCCATCTGCTTTTCAAAGGTCCCCTACAACAAGGAGTACAAGAACCTGGACACCAAGAAGTATTGCTAGAGCTGAGCGTCACCTCTGAGAGCCCCTTCCCCGTGCCGCGCCTTCCCCTGACTCCGTGCCCTTTAATAAAGCACCCCGTTGAACGACTTCACGTTTGGAGGTTGTTTTATATTCTCTACCAAACGGAAGTCTCTGCTTCCTCTTTCACGAACATCATTCCTTCCAACCTGGGAAGTTGGCATTGAGTTGGAAGGGTATTCCCAGGAAGCGAGCACCTTAGAACAGGAATAATGATTGACCTCCACCATTACTGATTATTTCCTCCGGGGCCAGGACGGTGTCTCTAAATCTGCCTGGGGCCTGTAAGTGGCATGATGACTGGGGAGCTGAACTCTCACATGGTCGACTGAAGTTCAAGTCCCGGACCTGATGGCTTGCTTTCTTGCATTCCCTCTCTGTTTCTCTCTCTCTCTGGTCAAATTGAGAAGAAGAATATTTAGGGACCGGCAAGTGGCGTGGTGGTTAAGGGTGCTGGACTCCCACATGGCCGAACATGGTTCAAGTCTCGGACCTGGTGGCTTGCTTTCTCACTTCCTCTCTCTCTCTCTCTCTGATCAAACTGGAAAATAATAATGATAATAATAATAAATAAATAAAGTTAAAATAAAATAATTCTTTAAAAAAAGAAGAATATTTAATAAAATGAAATAATTCTAAACTTTTTTTTAATTAAAAAATTAATTTCTCATCTATTTGGTTTTCTATCACCCTCACTTTTTTTTTTTTTAATTTGCCAGAAGGCACATGTGCTCACTGGGGAGAAAGAGAGAGAGAGAAATTGAGAAAGCACCTTCCCTGGGGAATAGTCAACACACAATCCCTTCTTCATTTTCCCTTCAGGATTTTTGGGCACAAACACACACCCAGTGTGTTTTTTAAGCTGCATAGTCTGGGACCTGAATTGTGCCATCAGCCATGTGGGATCCAGCCACCTTAAGCACCAGGTGACAGGCAGGCCCCTATTTGGCTTTCTAAAGTGGAGCACAACTGGGGCCAGCATGTTCAAATCCTGGACCTGGTGGCTTGCAAAATCACAACAAATACGTAAATAAATAAAAAGTGGAACACTGGGGCCGGCAGATGGTGTGGTGGTTAAGGCGACCACAGTTTGAGTCCTGGACCTGGCGACTTGAAACTCACAGTAGGTGTGTGTGCGTGTGTGCCCAAAATCCCAAGAGGAGAAGAGATTGTGGCATGGCCATTTTTCCTGGGAGGTGACTTCTTGATTTCTGTCTCTTTGTTTCTCTCTGTCTCTCTAGTGAGTACATGTGCCCTATAGCAAAAAATCTCTCCAAAGGAAAAAAAAAAAAGTGGAGCACAACTACATCTCATCTCATTTAATGCTCAATGCAGCTCTCCGAGACAGATATTCCCTGCTATTTTATGGGGTGGGAACTAGACTCAGAGAAGTTAAGCCACTTGCCCAACGGCACACAAATGGCAGTCAGGACCTAGCCTGTGTCCCTTCTGGAAGTTTGAGATTTTGTTTAAACTTCCCCGGGTGCAGTTGCTTTATTTACCCACCAGGTTTCCGCAGCATTAAAGAATGAGCTCAGAACGGGACAGGCTGGGTGCAATGAGTGGCCTGGTCACCCGAGGTGACCTTGGGCAAGTTCCATGAGGGCTCCAAGCTTCAGAATTCTCACTTTTCAGAAGAAAGAATAGTGCCCGTGTCATGTATCACGGGGTTGTGGGCACAGCGGAGCAAATGTGTCCTAAAATGCTTTCTAAGGTGTTTGTCATTGAGCAAATGTCTAGTGTCTTCCTAAGGGAGAGGGGAGGGAAGGAGATTCACTTTTTATTTTCTTTAGAAAGGTTTTATTTCATCAAACAAGATTTACCTTAAAAAAAAGTTATTCATTTTTATTTTCTGTATCTTTTTAAAAATAATTATTTATTTATTACTATTATTTTTCAATTTTACCAGAGAGAGAGAGAAAGTGAGAAAGCAAACCATCAGGTCCAGGACTTGAACCACAGCCTTTAACCACCATGCCACCTGCTGGCCCCTTAGTACCGTCTTTGGGTAACTGAGAAAATCTGTTTCAAAGCACTTTAGGATCTTTGTCTGAAAAACAAACAAACAAAAAAACCTGGAATGAGGTTGATAGCCTAACATCTCTTCAGAAATTTTTTTTTTTTGGGGGGGAGAGGTTTTTGCTATAGGGCATGTACGCTTGCCAGAAAGACAGAGACAGAAAGACAGAAAGCGAGAAATATCCCCCCCTCCCCGCCCCCAGGGGGATGGCCATGCCACAATCCTTTCTCCTCCATTCTCCTCTTGGGATCTTGGGCACGCATGCACATGCGCCTGGCATGAGTTTAAGCTGCCGGGTCCGGGACTCGAACTGCGGTTGACTACATGGGAGTTCAGCAACATAGCCATGACACTAACTGCTGGTCCCCACCTCTTTAGAATTTTAATTAGTGATGAAGAAGAAACCTACCTTTATGGAGGTGAAAAGAACTCTGTGTTTTCAAGATCTGAGATTATCCCAGGTAACTGAAACGTGCTTCCTAGGCGGGGTAGTGTGAGTTAGTATTGCCTGCCCTAATTTTAGACAAAAGGCTACCGGCGGTAGGCTCTGCTTCTTCCATCCGCTTGACTTTCTGGTGAGATTGTGCAGAAAGCCATAGCCTGATACAGACTCTTTCTGGCTGAGAGAGTAGTTAAACAAGTCCTGCAGCTTTTCTGGGCAGGAGCAAATCAACTTCAGAGGCCACTTGGGAACGAACTGTTTCTTGTCTGTGGTCGGTTCAGGGCAGGTGTTGCATTCTGACAGCTGAAATAAAGTGGAAATCCTTAGAGGACTGTGTCATAAAGTCCCATTCTCTTTTTCTTTCTTTCTTTCTTTTTTTTAATTAAAGAACAGTTTAATTGTATGATTTTTCTTTCTTCCTTTTTCTTAAACCTCAATTTTATTCATTTTTGGTAACTTTTTTTTTAGAGGTTTTTGCTATAAGGTGCGTGTGCTCACCAGAAAGAGAGAAAGCGAGAAATCACCCCCTGGGGGGATGGTCACGCCGCAATCCCTTCTCCTCCATTCTCCTCTCGGGATCTTGGGCACGCACGCACATGCGCCCGGCGTAAGTTTAAGCCACTGGGTCCAGGACTTGAACCGTGGTCGACTACATGGGAGTCCAGTGACACAGTCATTATGCTAACTGCTGGTCCCGCTTCCTTTCTTTTAAAAGAGATATTTTTGCTATAGGGTGCATATGCTTGTCAGAGACAGAGTCAGAAAATGAGAAGTCACTCTCCAGGGGGCTCCGCAATCCCTTCTCCTCCCTTCTGCTCTTTGGGATTTTGGGCACACACACACACACACACACACACACACACACCTGGTGTGGGTTTTAAACTGCCAGGTCCGGGACTTAAACTGCAATCGACTACATGGGAGTTCAGTGATGCAACCATTATACCATCCGCTGGTCCCTATTTTTTCTTTTTTTTTTTTTTAAGAGGTTTTTGCCATAGAATACATGGAGTCTCTGGAGAGCGAGATAGGCAGAGACAGAGGGAAACTGAGAAGTCACCCCCCCTAGGGAGGATGGCCAAGCTGCAATCTCTTCTCCATTCTCCTGGAATCTTGGGCATGCGTACACATGTGCCTGGTGTGAGTTTCAAGCCACTGGATCCAGACTGGAACCATGGTTGGCCATGTGGGAGTCCAGTGATGTAACCACTATGCCATCTGCTGGTCCCTACTTATTTATTTATTTAATTTGCATTCACCAGAAAAAGAGAAAGTGAGAAAGCAAGCTGCCAGGTCTGGGACTCGAACTGTGGTTGGCCATGTGGGAGTCTAGTGCCTCAACCACCATACCACCTGCTGCATGCCCCCTCCCCCATTCTCTTTCTCTTTTTTAAAAATAACTATTTTATTTTTAACTTTATTTTATTTATTTATTTTATTTTATTTTGACCAGAGAGAGACAGAATGAGAGAGAGAGGGAAAGTGAGAAAGCAAGCCGCCAGGTCCAAGACTTGAACCACTATCAGCAGTGTGGGAATCCAGCGCCCTTAACCACCATGCCATTTGCCAACCCTAGCCACCATTCTCTTTTTAGCTGATTAAAAATAAAAAGTGTGTGTGTGTGTGTGTGTGCACGCACATGAGTCTGTGTATATATATATGAACACACAGCCCAGACACCTGGTATTCTATTTTTAAAGTATCCCTTTATTCTCTAGTTAATAAAAAAAAATGAGTTCATGTCATTGCTCAAAAAAAGTATAAAAATGATTCGGTTAAAAGAGCTTAATCATTTGGAATTATAAATTAAGTCATTTCCTTCTACCCTTCCCTGCCCCCCCACAGCCCCGAAGTAATGAGTTTCCTGGGTCAGCCCTCCAGAGACAGAGACCATTCTGGCCTACATATTTCCAGGTCATTTCTTCTACCAGGTGAGAAACGGAGGAAGGGAAGGCAGTTTTCCTACAGAGAGAAGTTGCTGCTTTTCTTTAGGAGCAAATCTCATCAGCCTGAAGACCTGAACTCCCAGGCTCTGAGCCCTGCCCGGTTCAGAGGTGGACTGGCAGGGAGGTATTTTGGCTGCCCTCTAGGGTGTACTCATGAGCTTCTATTAGTTTGAGGAAGACAGGATGAATCCTTAAGGATCTGGAAGGAAATCAAACACATTAATGCCAAGAGAGCTGAGAGCGGGTTAATTGGACTGATTTTAACCACTGACCTGTCATTCAAATACACCATAACCGTGGGGCCAGCAGGTGGTGTGGTGGATAAGGCACCGGAACCATGGCTGATGGCGGTTCGAGTCTCAGACCTGGAGGCTTGCTTTCTCTCTTTCCTCTCTCTGTCTCTTTGGTGAGGCACATGAAATTTCTTAACATAATAACAAAATTAAATGAGTCTTTAAGAAGAAAAACAAAACAACAACAAAAAAAAGGGGGACCAGCAGGTGGCGTGGTGGATAAGGCACTAGACACTCCCACATGACCAACCATGGTTCGAATCCTGAATCTGGTGGCTTGCTTTCTCACTTCTTCTCTCTCTCACTCTCACCCTCTGTCTCTCTCTGGTCTAACTAAAAAATAAATGAATGAATAAATAAAATAAAATTTATAAAAAGAAGAAAAACAAGGGCAAGCCGATGGTGTAGTGGTTACATTGCTGGACTCCTACATGGTAACCACAGTTTGAGTCCTGGACCCAGTTACCTGAAGATCACACGGAGTGTGTGTGTGCGTGCCCAAGGTCCCAGGAGGAGAATGGAGAAGGGACTGTGGTATGGCCATCCTCCTGGGGCGTGATTTCTCACTTTCCCTCTTATTGTTTCTTTTTCTCCAGCAAGTACATGTATCCTATGGCAAAAACCTCTAAAAAACCAAAAAAAGGGGACCAGCAGATGGCATAATGTTTATGTCGCTGGACTCCCATGTAGTCAACCATGGTCCAAATCTTAGACCTGGCAGCTTCAAACTCATGAAGAGTGTGTGTGTGTGTGTGTGTGTGTGTGTGTGTGTGTGCACGCGTGCCCAAAATCCCAAGAGGGACTGCAGAGTGGCCATCTCCCCTGGGGGTGATTTTCCACTTTCTTTCAGAGAGACAGAGAGACAGAAGTGAGAAATCACCCCCCGCCGGGGGAGGGGGGGGGATGGCCACGCTGTAATCCTTTCTCCTCCATTCTTCTCTCGGGATCTTGGGCACACGCACACACATGTACCCATCATGAGTTTAAGTCACCGGGTCTGAGACTCGAACTGCAGTCCCAAATAAAACAATACTTAAAAAAAAAAAAAAAAAGAAGGGATAAATAGGGACCAGCATTTGCAATAATGGTTATGTCACTGGACTCCCACATGGCTGACCATGGTTCAAGAATGAAGCAGAAAGGATTGTGGCATAGCCATCGCCCTGGCGGGGGGGTGGTGGTGGTGATTTCTTGCCTTACGTCTCTCCATCTCTACAGAGAGCACATGCGCCCTATAACAAAAATCTAAAAAAAATGAATCAATAAAGCAGCAACCTAGAACCTTCTATATTTTGTCTGCGTGCCCTTAAACTGCCAGGTGAATGGGAACTCACCCTGAGAAGGTTACCTGAGAAGGTCTTTACCTGTGGCAGCAGGATTCAAGTACCCATTTCTGGCACAGGGGTGTGGCTGTGGTCAGTGCGGGTCTATCAATGGCAGCAACTCTCCACAACGAGAGTCCAGTTTCAGAGATGCCAAGTCATCCGACCGTGTAGGCCCAATGTTGAGTATTGCAATTGGGAGCTGCTTCTCCCGGGCGGTGAGGATAAACCTGTAACCAGAATACACCTGCACGGTGACAAGACACCGGTCAGAGCTCTCCGGAGCCGGGCAGGTCTCCCTGCCTGCCAAGGGGGCAGCTACGTCAGACAGGGTCATTTACCTGCAAGGACGATCCCACCACCAAGAGGGAGTCGGCTTCTTTCACACGCTTGTGCACAAAGTCAACCTTGTCAGGGTTCACTGTGTCCCCGAAGAAAACGACGTCTGGCTTCAGAGGGCCTCCGCACCGAGCACAGGCCGGGACCCGAAAGCTCTGAACCTGTTCCTCCGAGAGAAAGACGTCACCGTCGGGCGCCAGGCCGTGGGCCTCGGCACTCCAGGTGGGGTTCAGGACCTCAAAACGCTCCTGCAGCACCCCCCGGGGAGTCTGCTCCCCACAGTTCAAGCAGAGGACCCTGAAACCAAAGAAGAGGTAACCTGAACCGTGTCCGTGGCCAGCACAGAGCTGTCCAAAGAGGTTTTGTCCCCCACCGCCATTGCAGCTGCTCCATCATGGCTTCCTTCCTTCCTTTTTGCTATGGGAAGACCAGCAGGTGGCGCGGTGGTTAAGGCACTGGACTCCCACATGGCCAAGCACGGTTCCAGTCCTGGACCTGGCAGCTTGAAAATCACGCCAGGAGCATGTGTGGGTTCCCACAATCCCAGGAGGAGAATGGAGGAGAAGGAATTGCAGGGTGGCCATCCTCCTGAAGGGATGATTTATATATATATATATAAAATAAAAAAGTTTAAGAAGAGATAGAGGCCAATGCATAAGAAGCCAGATCCCACATGGCTAACTGCAGTTTAAGCCCTAGGCCCCGCAGCTTGAAATACATCCTGGGTGTGTGTGTGCACCTGCGTAGGCTGGAGGAATGAAGAAAGGAGTGTGCTGTGATCACATCCCACTGAGGAGTGTGCACACTCGCTCTCTCTCTCTGTCTCTCTCTCTCTCTCGCAAGTCCACATGCCCTCTCTCAAAAAAAAAAAATAAGGAAAAGAAAAAAATAAGTAGAAATGATCATTTTTAAAAAAGAATGATTTTATCTAACTTATTTATTTATTTATTTAAATTTGACCAAAGAGGGACAGAGCGAGCAAGAGAGAGACAGAAGGGAAAGGAAAGTAAGAAAGCAAGCTGCCAGGTCTGGGACTCAAACTGTGGTTGGTCATGTAGGAGTCCAGCATTCTCAACCACCATGCCACCTGCCAGCCCCCAAATGATAAAATCTTGACAAAACAAATCTTTGAACCTGGATAGTGGTATATAAGAATTTATTATAGTACTCAGTTTTGCGAATGCTTGAAAAAAAATTTTAAAGGATTATTTTCTTTAACTTTATTTATTTATTTTAATTTGACCAGAGAGAAAGAGGGAGAGACGACAAGACAGCAAGCTGCCAGGCATGGGATGCCAACTGTAGTCAGTCACGTGGGAGTCCAGCACTCCTAACCACCACGCCACCTGCCAGCCCCCAAATGCTTGAAATTCTTATCATAAAAAAATGTTTTTCAGGAACAGCAGATGGTGTAATGGTTACATCACTGGATTCCCGTGTGGTCAACTGCAGTTTGAGTCCTAGACCTGGGGGGCTTGAAACTCACACCTGGCAGGTGTGTGTGCGTGCCCAAGATCCCGAGAGGAGAATGGAGGAGAAGGGACTGCGGCGTGGCCATCCCCGCTGGGGGGTGATTTCTTCCTTTCTGTCTCTGTCTCTCTGGCAAGTGCATGCGCCCTATAGCAAAAATCTCTCTCTAAATAAAGATGTTTTTCATGGGCCCATAGGCATCATTAACTCTCTAATCCTGCTGACACCGCCTGAGTCTGGGTTTTGCAGGCTCACTCCCTAATCCGTCCCTTCTAATCCTAACCTTCTTCAAATGCTATTTTTATCACGTCGCTGTCTTACTCAGAGACCACTAATCGTCCCCTTCGGTGTCTCATAACTGACCCAAACCACCGCCTGATTTTCAGATGCCACCATGATTTGGGGTTAGCCTTTCCAGACAGTCTGATTTCAAACTAGTCCCCACCCCACCCCTGCAGAGTCCAGGCCAGACGACTCTGGGCTCTATAAATTCCTTTCATTGAGAAAGTTCTCAGGCCAGCCCCACAGCCTAGTGGTTAAAGGAGTAAGATACCCCATTGCCAGCCCTGGACCCAGGCACCTCGGTGTGTGTGACCCCAGTCCAAACAGCATGGAGAAATGGAGGAAAAGGGATTGCCGCGTGACCGTGTCCTACTGGGCATGCTTCCTCCCTGCCCCTCTCCCTCTGTCTCTCTCTCTCTCTGGCAAACAAACCTGCCCTCTGACTATTATAAATACACAGAAAAGGGGATGGCAGGTGGCGTGGTGGTTAATGGCACTGGACTCCTACATGGCCACCTATGGTTTGAGGCCCGAACCTGGCGGCTTGCTTTCTCACTTTCCCTCTCTCTTTCTTTCTCTCTCACTCTGTCCTTCTCCGACCAAATTAAAAATAAATAAATAGATAAACAAAGTTAAATAAAATAAATCTAGAAAAAAAAATAAATAGAAAGCCTTGTTTTAAAAACATAAATTTTTTGGGACCGGCAGTTGGAGTAATGGCTATGTTGCTGGACTCCCACATAATTGACCGCGGTTTTAGTCCCAGACCCAGTGGCTTAAACTCATGCTGGGCGCATGTGTGTGTGTGTCCAAGATCCCAAGAGGAGAATGGAGGAGAAGGGATTGCGGCACAGCCATCCCCCGGGACAGGGATGATTTCTCACTCTCTGTCTCTCTGTCTCTCTCTGTCTTTCTGGTAAGCACACATGCCCTATAGAAAAAACCTCTCCAAAATCATAATAATAATAATAAATAAAATAAAATTTTTTTGGGGGGGAGACTTTTGCTATAAGGGGATGTGTGCTCTCCAGAAAGACAGAGACAGAGAGACAGAGAGTGAGAAATCATCCCTGTCCCGGGGGATGGCTGTGCCGCAATCCCTTCTCCTCCATTCTCCTCTTGGGATCTTGGACACACACACACATGCGCCCAGCATGAGTTTAAGCCACTGGGTCTGGGACTAAAACCGCGGTCAATTATGTGGGAGTCCAGCAACATAGCCATTACACCAACTGCTGGTCCCACTTTTTAAAAATGTAAAAGGAAAGATAATAAACCTGGGGCCGGGAGGTGGGGCAATGGTTAAGGCACTGGACTCCCATGCGGCCGACCATGTTTTGAGTCCCAGTCCTGGGGGCTTGCTTTCTTGCTTTCCCTTTTTTTCTCTCTGGTCAAATTAAAAAATGATAAGAAATTAAATTAAAATTCTTTTAAAAAATAATGAAGATGAGACTAAAAACAAAAATAGCTGTGATGAAGACAGCTCAGGTCCCTGATGTCACCAACGCACACTTTCGGCACTTAACCCTTGCAGTACCTGTGCATGCATCCGTGAAGCTCTGTCAGGCGCTGGCTCCCCGCCTTGGTATGCAAGGCGTCCACGTTCTGGGTCACCAGCCAGTGCAGCTTTCCGAGTTTCTCCCACCTGCTCAAAGCCCAGTGTGCAGGGTTAGGCTGGTGGGAAGAGAACTGTGGCCAGCCCACGAAGTTTCTCGCCCAGTAGCGCTGGCGGATTCGTGCGCTCCGGACAAAGTCGCCATGCTGGATGGGCCTCCGGTCGGTGCGCGCATAAAGTCCCACCTTCTCTGACCTGTAGTCGGGGATCCCTGACTCGGTGGAGATTCCAGCCCCGGTCATCACAAGGAGTCGCTTGGAAAGGGTGATGAAGCGCTGGAATTCTTTGACCTTCTCAGGGTCCAGAGGAGGGCTCGGTGGCACGAATAATCCGAGGGATCCACGCGAGCACTGTCGGCTGAGGTTTGCGGTGCAATGACCCTTGCTAAAGGTCAACCCAAGGCTCATCCTCATTCTGGAGAGAAAGAAACACTCTTTTATTTATTTATTTGTATATATTTATTTTTTAAATAATTATTTTATTTAACTTTATTTTATTAGTATTATCATTATTATTTTCCAGTTTGGTCAGAGAGAGACAGAGAGAGAGAAGAAGTGAGAAAGCAAGCCACCAAGTCTGAGACTTGAACCGTGGCTGGGAATGGTGGACGCCCACTGCGTTAAC